TGGATCTTAGATAGATAGGATGGGATGGGATGGATTGGATTAGATTGATCTGGCTTAGGTTAGGGGCCAGTGGAGGACTCTTATGAATACGGTAATGAACCTTCGGGTTCCATAAAATTCTGGGAAATTCTTGAGTGGCTGCAGAATTGTCGTCTCCTCAAGAAGAGCTCAGCTCCACGAGTGAGTAAGTAAGTAAGAAAGTAAATAATCTATTTACAAATTTGTGTCCAATATTTATTTTAATCTTGAACCAATATGGCTCGTCTTTTGCGCCCCTTCTCCTTAATGGAAGACGGATATTATTAGGTCCCAGAGAGTGGTGTTCCTTGCCTTATGTTCAAAGCCCTTTGGTATCGCGGTCCAGTTATTCAGGCTACGCTGTGTTTTGCTGAACTAGCACAAATAGTTCAGGGTTCTGAAGCTATCACAACTTGTCAAATAACGTAATGTTATTTCCAACTTGGTTCTGTGGGGATTGCGATTCTCACTGCAGTATCCTTCTTGTGAATAGAGGGTTCTGTCATAGCCAGAAGCACATCACACTTCTCAGGACTCATTGTAAGATGTCTTCTGTACTCTGAAGGATCCTCTCCAGCTAAGTCTTTCAATAAGGTGTTTGATGCACCATACAAATTTATCCTACAAATCCATTTCTTAACCCATCTTCTTTTCCTCTTTTCTTTCTTTNCAGAATGTTATGTAATTCATGAAGTAAAAATGCTTCAGCACTGCGCATGCTTGGATTTGTGCTTGTGGCAACTTCAGTTTCACAATGCAAATATAACTGAAGCGATGGCACACGCTTGTTATGGCTTCATGTTTAGAGGCTTTAAGTACTTCGCCCGCTTTCCTCTTGTCATTATAAAAGATGGCTTCAAGTTGAGAGGCTTCAAGCACTTGACTCCTGTAAACTATGCCCGTGTGAATTAGGCTTATATATGACACTCTGCTCAGATAAGAGGTTAGCACAAGGGTAAGGCGTTTGACTGGTGTTCATGTGATATACCATTCCAGAATCTTGGCCGGAGTTCCAGTTATACTGAAAGAACAGCATTTCCAGAGGAACGCCTAAACACTACCGTAAAGTAGGCAATTTCACTACAGCTTCCTATCCGCTTTCAAATTATCCTCTTCGGATCTGAGTTCGTAGAAAATAAGACAATTCCGAGGAACGTATCCTCCTAATATTCAGGCTACCCGTTTGTCGCTGCTTTTCTTTTCGCTTTGCTCTCTTTGGTCCTGAACATGATGGCAACATGTCCCATGGATATGCTTCTATTGCTAGTTGGGTGGGACTAAGTCCCTTGTACTGCGGCCACTTCTGGCCTATTGTACCAGCCCCAGATGATAGGTGAGGGTGATTGTGGAGCAATTGGTGGAATGAATATTGGCAGGAGAAACCGAAGTACTCGGAGAAAACCCGCCCCAGCGTCACTTTGTCCACCACAAATCCCACTTGACGAGACCTGGGATCGAACCCGGGTCGCCGCGGTGGGAAGCCAGCGACTAACCGCCTGAGTTATGGAGCGGTCCATATACACATAATAACTTAGGCTTGAAATAATGTCTGCCTCTGTTCTTCCAGCCTTTAAGTCATGAGGGAAGTACTGCACACCATTATCACTGAATGTAATGTCCCATGAAACTAATTAGCACGAGTTTAACTGAAACTTACAGTAAGGTTCGTATATATAAACATCTGTCCGGTACTTCTGCTAACCAAAACAGTCTGAAACAAGGAGATGTCTTATCGCCGCTGTCCGAAAAAAACAGGCGAGACTGAAATTGAATGGGACACATCAGTATCTGGTCTATGCTGGTGGTGTAAATCTGCTGGGAGGTAACATAAATACCATGAAGAAAAATTCATTAGCTCTAATTGGCGCTAGTAAGGAGGTTAGTCTAATGGTAAACATTTTTTTTATTGTTTTCTTTATTGACAATCAGATTGTACAATCTGTAAGTCAATGTACTGACTGGTGTACAATATAAAAGCTAACTGTACACTCTACATGGCGAGAGCGGAATAAACATTCAGTGATGTTCTCCTCAGTTCCTTTGATCTGGTGGCCAAATTCTTTCGCTTTTGGTGAGGTTGTAGTAGTGGTTGAAGAAGAGGGTTGGAGTGATTTTGTAGTTTGTTGAAGTACTTGGTGCTGTTTTCTCGGAAGACTTCTGTTACGTAAGGAGTTTTTAGATCTGTATGTAGGGTGCGGTTGGATACGTTCGTGATGGATCGGAGTATTTTGGACTGGGCACGCTGTATAATGGCAATGTTGGATTTGCTGGCGCAGCCCCAGAGTTCTATGCCGTATGTTCATATAGGCTTGATGACTGTTTTGTAGATTAGTAACTTGTTTTCGATGGAGAGGTGGGATTTTCTTCCTATGAGCCAGTTGAGTTCTTTGGTTTTTTGGTCCGTATGTTTTCTTTTCTTTATTATGTGTTGTCTCCAGTTTAGTTTGTTGTCAAAGGTTAATCCTAGGTATTTGACCTGTTCTTGTGGTTGTTGATGTGATTTGTTTGCACTGGGTGGCACGTGCCTTTTCGGAGAGTGAAGGTTGTTTGTGTGGACTTTGATTCGTTTACCTTGATTATTTTGTTGTATTTTGCTCTGTTTCCCGGAGTGTGAGTCCTCTGTCAGGTTGATCCAGCTCTTCTCTTTTCGGTTATTAATTTTTTTTTCATTCTTAACGGTATGTTATTTGTAGGGTTCTTTGGATCATTTATGGGGGTTGCTGTTTTGGCGGCTTCTTGTAGTAGGGTGATGAACTTTTTAAATTCGTTTCTATGTCGGTTGGTTCTTGCAGCTTGATTTTTAGTTTTGTGTTGTATTCTATTATTTTCCTGAAGAGATTCCAGTTTGTTTTGGAGTTGTGAAGTCTGGGCTTGGATTTCCTTAGTATAACTGATGTGCTTATTGTTGCAATGATCGGAGTATGGTCCGATGTTTGGTCAAGGTTTGCAGTTGCGTTTGTGTAGTTAGGAAAGATGTCGTTTGTTACGAAGAAAAGGTAAATATGAAACTAAGTATGCGTTGATATTTCTTCTTCAGAATGTAGGGTAAGATCAGAACGTAAAGATAGGTAATAGAACTTTGGACCTCTTGATTTAGAAGCAAGTCTAACATCACAGTCTGTTTCTGCGCGGCAGGATTAATTTTAGAATACCAATTTAAAAAAGAATTAATTCAGTGTTTCCTTTCAATGCGAATATTAAATCACATTTGAAATTCTGTATTAGACATCACTGCAGTTAATTTGGTGGCCTGAATTCTACAAGTCCTTGCTGACTTCATTCTACAGTCGATCACATGATATTCTCTTAGCTGTTCCGATATTTATATCTGAAATAGAGCGTTAATTTCAGGCTTTAAGAATTACATTTTTTCTTTCATATTCTGTGCGTTCTTTTGTATGTTCCAATTTATTACTATCTCAATTTACTACATTTCATTTTTGTCAAACGTCTGTGCTACGTCAGAGGTATGTGGGTGTACTTGTATATGCAGCTACTGCTCCGAGAAAGGACACTTCTGATACCCGAATTCCGGCCCCAATGNGTTCCGATATTTATATCTGAAATAGAGCGTTAATTTCAGGCTTTAACAATTACACTTTTTCTTTCATATTCTGTGCAGTCTTCTGTATGTTCCTATTTATTACTATCTCAATTTACTACATTTCACTTTAGTCAAACGTCTGTGCTACGTCAGAGGTATGTGGATGTACTTGTATATGCAGATACTGCTCCGAGAAAGGACACTTCTGTTACCTGAATTCCGGCCCCAATGATTTCATCACCAGTGTTTCACACGAGCCAGCACTCATGGCGGTTCTCTAAATATGATAATATACATATTTTTGCTCATCTACGGTAATGGTATGATAGCTGCAATGTTCTTGTATATATGAGTAATTTAGTTCTAATAGGGCTAAGACCGCAGTCGGATTTAAATAGATATGTTTGCGATGCAGGTCGTCGTAAGACTTTCGTTTCGCTTACATTGGTATCAGGATCGAGGCCCGGGAGTCTTCCGAGGAGAAACCTGAAATTTGTACATGGTATTCAGAAAATATTAGCCGGTCACGGTAGCCGAGCGGTCTAAGGCATGCACTGTCTTCGCTCGCTCGGAAGCCGGGATCATGGGTTCGAATCCCACTCAGGGCATGGATGTTTGTGTGCGTTTTTCTGTGTTTGTCTACAGGTAGAGGCCTTGCGACGAGCTGATCACTCGCCCAAGGAGTCCTACCGTATGTGTAAGACCTAGAAAAACTGAAGTGAACGGAGTTCATTGAGATAGGCCTAGGCCCACTGGCGCTGTAGTGCCAAGGAAAAAAATTTCAGAAAATATTATCTGAACGTCTAATCAGACAATGCACATAAATGAATAGTCGTGACCAAGAGTCTGCAGTTCTAAATTCATTAATTAAACATAAATTATTTCTTTCTCGACTTGCATTTCGGCGACATTAATTTCAAGAGACATATGACTTAAAATCTTTTCGATAATGTTTGCATTTGCGCGAAATGTATTCCGAGAGAAATGCGAACTAGAATATAAAAGTGATATAATATTTCAGCAGAATAATTTGAATATACTTCTTGTAATTAGTTCAAATTAAGCTCTACCTACAATACGGTTTTTTGAACGAGAGCTCAACGTTAAGAATGTCAATAATGTCATGTAATTGAGGACTAATGCCATTTTGGCAAAAAGCGGAGTATGGCTATTTCTATAAAGAGAACATCGTTCCAAGCAAGGTATTTGCAAGACATGTCGTTATAAAAAGTTCTGAAAGTGTGCCCCAGCATGTTGCATACAGAACCGAGCACGATGAAGCACGTTTGTAGACTGCTTGTAGCTCCATAGGTGAAATGGCGGTAGTGATGTTGGATACGTTTGTTTCCAGTTCATTCAAACTGACTAGATTGCTGCTGTATGAATTGTCTTTTGATGCAACTCCACAGAAAGTAATCCAGTGGTGATAAATCCGGATATGACGGAGGCTATCAGAGTGCCTGATTTCCGAACAAAAGGCACAGACTGCGCAGAGTGGGCCATGCTTAAGCCGTGCTGCATTGTCTTGCTGGAACCACGGTTCGGCGGTTTCCTCATCAGTCAGGTGTCCGAGGAAGTCATCGAGTATCGAGTTAATGGTGTTTAGAATAAAATGTGCCAGGAAGTCCTGTGGCAAGGCCTGCGCACCACACTCCAAACTTGACGGAATGGGGAGGAGTTTCGTGGGATGCAAGGGGACCGTTGACCCTATGCGACGAGTATTCTGAGAGTTCACATAACCTGTAAGACGGAACCACTCCTCATGTGAGAAACAAGTCACATATAAGATGCAAAGGGCATCCTCCAACTTTATTATCAACCACTCGCAGTAATTTTGTCATTCTTCACAGTCCGTTGGTAATAACTGCTTAAAACCGTGCACTTTGTACAGAAGTATTCAGTATTAGAGGGGGTGGGTACCCCATGCACCGCGACTAGTAGTCTATTGTACGTCCCCCTTTAATTTCTACTGTCGCCATACCCTACCGGTACTGGTCCTCCCTATCAGCCCCTTTCTGCCAGCGAGGTCGGCCCTCTTCTGGCAGTGGCACCCGATAACGTCCCCATCTACCGGAGGCTTTGAAACTACTTGGGCGGGAAACTTTGTACAGAAGTAAGTGCATGTCTTCGCTGCTTTGCGACAAATACTACGGGACACTCTGTGTGCTGTACAAGTTTCCGAATAACAAAGAGCGTACTGTCACTCAGGTAAAGGTAAAGCTAAAGGTAAAAAAGGGTAAAGTTGTCTCCTGTGCTTAACTAATTAAGCACTACGCCATGAAAGCCTGTGTGGGAATGGATGTATAGATTCCCATTTTCATAATCTCAGCACTAGCTGGAGTTGAATGGTCAGTTTCACGCTCCTGCCGCTCTACCCTCGGCGACAGAACCTCCGGTACCCATTGGATAGGAGACTGGGTGGGCCCCAGAGCCGGTGTGGTAGACGTGGAGGAGCAAAAACTCTTGATCCTACCGGGACTCGAACTCCGATCCCTCGGTGGTCCAGCCTGTAGTCAGTCGCTCTACTGACTACGCTACCCCGGCTCCTGTACTTGCACTCAACCTCTCACTAACTCCTGCTACACGGGTCGCCGTTACAGCAGTCTACCGGCGAACAAGTGACATTACGTTCACATTTTGTCTACCTGAAGTGTTTCACAAGCTTCCGAATCATGGATTTTGCTGGTCCTGTCATGCAAATCCGTGACTGTAACCACTCTGGGTCCTTTTGAACGACTTTATTTTAGGTCAAGAGCACACGCTTCCCTGCACTGAACGCCATGCTGTTTACTGATTGCACTGAGCATTCCGCACTTCGCCAGAAACTGCCCAAACCCTCAGTGTATTATATTATTACCATTTCCAGTTTTGGTTTATCTTTTAAATAACTGTGCATAACTTGTTTCTAACAACCGAACGAGTGACTGGTAAATTAACGGGGATATTCATAGAATTTTTCTCGAAGTGTTCTTGTAGGTCTGAGTGTAGCTACCCGCTTGATTACAAATATTTTCAAAGAAAGCAGTTTACTGGGATGTGGCGCCATGTAGCTATTGTGTTGACCGACGTTTCGGAGAAACGTATCGCCTCCATCTTCAGGGTAGAAGAAAAGAAGCTCCGCGAGCGAGGAACCAGCGCAGACTTAGGCTGAGTACCTGCTCGCGCTGGTTCCTCGCTCTTGGAGTTTCTTTTCTTCTACCCTGAAGATGGAGGCGATACGTTTCTCCGAAACGTCGGTTAACACAATAGCTACATGGCGCCACATCCCAGAAAACTGCTTTCTTTGAAAATATTTGTAATCAAGCGGGTAGCTACACTCAGACCTACAAGAACACTTCGAGAAAAATTCTATGAATATCCCCCTTAATGAAGGTCATTTATATGATGAGTCTAAATGGTAAAGTTGTACTATGAACGAGTAATTCAGCACCATTTTAGCTAAAAATCCCCCCCCCCGATCACTTTGGAGTACAGGGCTGATTTCTCAATTTAATCTGTCATTTTTACAGATGATAGGACTCCTTGGACGGTTGATCAGTTCGTCGCAAGACCTCTACCCTAATCACAGGACAAAACAAACACAGAATAAACGCACATACACACCAAACATCCATGCCTTGTATGGGATTCGAACCCACGATCCCGGCTTCAGAGCGAAGACGGTACATGCCTTAGACCGCTCGAATACCGTGACCGGCACAAAGTATTAATGTTTTGATATTAATGAAAAATATCGATAACAATTGGAGAGCTGATTATTCCATGATTATTTCGTTAGACATTACTGGGTATTCGAAACGTTTCATTGTTGATATTATGGAAATATTTTCATGGGGTTATGTAAACTTAAAAATATGTTAGGAACATCACTGTTTCAAAATGTGTAAGTTACTTCAATAACAGCATTTCAACGTGATGAGTGCTCGAACTGACAGTCGGGTACAATATACAGAATGCGAACAAATCTGCACTCTAAATTCATGCGCGAACTGTTTTTAGCAGTCACAGAGATGAACCAGCTGTAAGACACACAATAACATATAGGCTTACTTGCTTTTACGAGACGTGTGGAAATACATGCAAGTGTAATTTAAGCTTACTCCATTCGCAGATGTTTGTAAACAATGCAGCAGTACAGATATTAAAAATAAAATATATCAAAAAGATGTACAGGTGTCCCCATAAAATTCTGATTTCATAAACAAAACGTGTCCTCGTCTACAGTACAGGCCTTCACAAAGAATTTTATTGCTTCCCCGACTGAGGGGCAGGGGTAGTTTTGTACAGGAGTGCGCGGCTTCAAAGGGGACTGTAATGGAAATGAGACAGCCTGTCTGACACAAGCCTGTTACAGCCAGACGTGTATACTCGAGGCGCTGTCAAGATTCGATCATACATTGCGAGTATGGGAGCATAGTTAATATGCTCTCTAGTTCCCAAAAGCATCCAATTTTGGTCACATTTTCGAAGATCTGCATTGCACATGACTGACTTTTACAGCTAAACATTTGCTGATCCAGGTAATTTACGTTCATTCCAGCCGCTAATTAAATAATTTTCCTGGGGAGTTAAGTGCGACCGGCGCGTAAGGCTGACAACCTTATCGCCATCTTTGAGCCGATTGTCTAGATAATGTGGGACCCTCAACGTCTCACAACCCTATGGGCCTTCACGGCCTGGTACAGGAATAGCTTTACTTACTTTACTTATTGTTTGACTTAAAGATGTATGATATTTGCTAAGCGAACTGATCCAGTAAAATATTTAAATAAAATATATAATTTATCCGACTTAATGAATGATACAAATTCCGTCCAAAGTGCAAACAATATATATTATATGTCTTTGATCTTGCTCTCTTCTACACTACATGTTTCGGCCTCTAACGGCCATCATCAGGTGTATACTCTCACGTTGCTGCCACACTGAACCCAGCCTAAAATTTAACATTTAAAAACACATTGTTATTTTCTTCGTTATTATCAACATCTACCTCGTTGATATGTGTCTGGTATGTAGATTATTTTGCACACGTCAATTTTGATTTTCCTGTAGTAGCACTATAAAATCTTTAGATTAAATTTTAAAGCAGTCAGCGCGCCAATGGACTGACGAGATAATAAGGAAGTGACTTGTGTTTCTGTGTCGTCCGTGCGGAGCCTATATACGGAGGATCTATTGTAGCTTAGATAAATGCGGTTATAGGACAAGGTGAAGCCAGACACAGAAAATATAAGAGGCTTAAACTTGGCGGTGGTCAAGTTTACGACTGTTCAAATGACTAAGCTGCCGCTGTAGCATAAGAAATGTAAGTTAGGCATGATCTGCTCTGTAAAGCCTGCGCTGACAGAGGGCTTGTGAGTAGTGCAAAAGGGAGAATTTTCAATAACATGTTATATGTGCGAAATATACATTTGACGAAAGGCCAAGCGTATTCATAAAAGACAAACCCATCTTCTCGTCAGAGAGGATGTTACAAAAGTACTATTACCGCAAGAGTTCAGTTGGGAAAATGAAATCTCTGGTCGTGGTCCTCAAGGGGCCTGACGTCAAGACAAACTGATTGGGGGTAAACCGCCAGTCATAAAGTAACGCTGACGCTGACTCTGACGATAAGTGTGCAGTGCAGTGGAGAGTACAAGGACAAGAATGCAGCATGTTCTTGGTGAACTGTGAAGATTAGTGGAGTACAGATTAGAACACAGGAGTACAGAGTGTTTGAAGACGAAATAACAAAAAGACTTCATATTAATTTGAAGTGCTAATTTCCGTGTTGGGATCCGTTGCCAGGAGACCACTAGTGAAAACGGAGAATCCTAATATGTGCGCAACGGTAAACTGAAAGTGTGTAGAACAGGGATAGCGTTATAATCGAGTGTGAATAAGAGAACTGTAAACGAAGTTGTTAATAAATCCAATCATCCGATCTGGAAACCATCACGCGTACCCCAATACACGTGACAGTATACATTTACCAACTGAATTTCCATACGTTTTATCAATAACTGTTACCACTTTCATTTTCATAAGTTGTTCTCAGACGTAACATAAAATAAAGCACGCACCCTGTCAGCAGAGACTTCCCACAAAGTACAGCTTCCTTCGAGTAAACCTACAGTAGAGTCATGATACGAAATTAATACTCTTTAAATACCAAAAAGCCGCACTGAAATATTCGTGTTTAACCTGTCAGCAGCTACTGGGACCAGAGCGTAATTCACTTAGGAAGGTTCGTTTGTGGGTTATTATTTAACGAGCCTATATCAAATAGATATCTTCAGCGTTGATTCAAATTATAAGATGATTATATACAGCAAATCGAAAGGAATGTTGGAATAAATGGTCTTTGTCTGCTTCAACTGATTATGGAAAACTGAAGATAACCAACAGAACCTCAGACATAACTGCAAGTACTCCAATCATGGCTTGGATCATGCACCTCCACAGTGCACTATCGTTATTTCAGCAATCTGCGTTTTGTGACAGGAAAACGCATATTTCAAGACAAAGTTACGATCGACAATCAAAGAAGTCCGAATATACGGGATACATTACAGACAACAAGCAATATAACCTTCAGCTTGTGTAAGA